CCCCAAAACCCCAAAACCCCAAAACCCCAAAACCCCTGTAAATGAATATTAAGTTGAAGTGTTGAATAATTAACGTTTATTTTGTACTAAAATTTTCTACCTGAAATAGTATTTTTCTAAACTCAGAAGGTAAAATGTTACTTTTTGCTAACTATTTAGAACAATCTGTATTGGCAAGGGCCATTTTTACTCTAAAGGTTGGCCTCTACGCTAGTAAGTCTTGCGAGTAAGTCCTAGTGATGAAGAATTATAGAGGAATCAACTAGTTTATTAGATGTAATAGGGTTATTTGAAGTTAGGCATCTTTTCATTCTCCTTGTCTAGATTAGAAGCATTTTTGAATTCTTTGAATGAGTTCTTGATTGCTGGGCGACCATCTAGCAATAAACCTCTTGGAATTTTTCCATCTGGAGCCATATTTTTGATTTTTAGAAGCATTTCTGCTTCGTCTTTCAGTACTTTGAACATCTTTTGTACTCTTGCCATTGTTTTTATTTTGGTTTTAATTTTTCCAAACTTCTTCATTTTATCGCTTGCTGATGTTACTTCAGTGACAGCTGATGTTTCGTCATTTTCATCGACATCATCAGATGTCTGCTTCAGGATGTTCGTCATCAATGACATAACCTTTTCAGCAAGGAATGGCATAGACCAGGAAAAAACATCTAGTTGATCAGGTAAGAAATATGGATGTTCAGATTGATCGTACTGCTTAATACTAATTCCTCCATCTTTCAAGATTAACACTGCTGCTTTGTTGCTATAATAATCTCAATAATTCGGAGCTGAGAAGAGTGTGATGACGTAGGGAAAACTTGAATCCCCATCCCATCTATGCATCTTATAGCCTTCTATTTGGACTTGGTGAGCTCTAACTATGGACATTAGGTTGTGATTGTCGAGAAGTTTCTTAGTTGGCTTCTTTCCAAATAAATAGGATCATTCTCTTTCCTTATTTTCATTAAACTCAAAATCATTGGCATCTTCATCATTCATTGGATCTGACCATAATAGATCACAGAAAAGCCCCTTCACTGGAGGTTCCTGGAAGCGATCTATTTTCGTGATTTGGGAGAGCTTATTTTAAATCTGGAGAAATTCCTCCATGGATCGCTAGATATCTGTCATTTACTACTGCTGCTAATGGCATCGAATCGAATGCATCCATGATGTGGTCATAAATTTCCTCATCAAATTTATTAATGGTCTCCTCTCGGAAAGTGAAATGGTCAGTCATGTTCCTTCACTCATGGTTACCTCTAAGCAGTATGACATTTTCAGGATGAGCAACCTTGAGAGAGAATAATAGAATTACTCATTCAATTGAAAAAATGCCCCTGTCTACATAGTCTCCCAAGAAAATATAGTTGATCTTCTTGGGAGAGCCTGCTTTTTCGAGCAAATGGACAAAATCGTAATACTGACCGTGGATGTCGCCGACCACGCAGACCGGTTCGCTAACCTTAACCAAATTGGCTTCCTTATTTTAAAATCTCAGTAGTATCAAGAATAAGTTTCATAAATTGCTCCTTATGAATTTTGCCTTCTTTGACTAGGTGCTTTTTAATAACATTGTAGTTCGGCAAACCAGAAGAGTCGTAGAACATTTCCTCACTTAAGGGCTTCTGTGGGGGAGGATCAACACTCTTGACTACTCTGTCATCTCAAGGGTCTGGTAGAGTTTCCATAATGAAAATTTCTTCTTTAACAATAATTTTATATTTATTCGGGGTTTTGGGGTTTTGGGGTTTTGGGGTTTTGGGGTTTTGGGGTTTTGGGG